ACAAAGGAAGAAGAAGATGAAAAGAGGAGCAAAGGAAATCCAAAATAAGCAGAAAAGAGGATTAATAAAGAAAAAAAATCAACCTGGACTTAGATTTCCCATAAAACATGCTAGAAGACAATAAAGCAATGTCTACAGAGTATTTTGTTTCACAAAATATTACACCAAATATGTCATCTATATATATAAACGGCTAAGTGTCCATCTGTCCGACCAGTAGCTATGACGCACACTGACCAACAGGGGGCAGACGCTCAATGCAGGAGCTGCCATGACACGCACTGGCCATTTAAAAATAAACATCACCACGGATCTGGCGCCGACAAACCAACACTCGGCTTCTCCCAAGTGGGACACAGGCCCCACCACCAGCCCAGAGCCACACCCCACCAAATCGCAGCCAATGCTGCCAAGACCCCATGGCATAAAATACGGCCCAGAGCCAGATCAGCCCATAAATGGTGGCTGTGGGTGCCGGGTAATGATGTCGCATAGCAACTCCCGGCTTCCTCTCCCTAGCCATGACTAGCCTCCTTGTAGTTTCTTCAGCCCAGGAACCTGACTTGCTTTATAGCCAGGTGGAAACATTTTACATTTTAACCAAATGTCTGTGAAACGTTTTCCTGTGCCTCATCTCATTTGATCCTCACAGAAGTCCTGGAGGAGGTAGATAGGAGACTTGGTGGAATCCTATTTTCTTTTCATTAGACAGAAAACGGAGATTTAGAACACTTAGAAACTTGACCCAACTGAAAAGAAGTAAGAAATGGTGGAACTTGAAAATGACTTCAGGTTTTTTCATGCGCAGAATATAGTCAAACACTGCTACAGTTAAATATTTTACCCTTTGTTCTCCCTACATGATCTACAATAATAATCTGATTCGTGTGGATATTTACTTCTGTGTTGTGGACAATTACCTGAAAGAGAAGTTGGGGTGCTTCACTGGGTTGGAAAAAGTTTAGGTAAATCAGAAAGCAGGTTTAATTAAGCAAATTTATTCTATAGATATAAAAGGCTAAGTTGACTCGCACATGCGCGATACATATAAAGCTCTAGCTGGTGCCAATTGCACATGTGTGTTTCAATCTGTCATTGTCGATTGTGAATTTGGTTGACATTTCTATTATAGAGAAAGGGCAAATAGCGATATTAAAATATTTCTTCTAATATTTCTTCTAATATTTCTTCCTTTCAATGTGCATGAATCCATGTACCAGGACACTAGTTCCTATATAAAAGCAACAAAAAGTAAATAAAAACTCAGGAACACAGGAGCTCTGAGTCCTTCCTTGGGGAAAAATGATGATAAAATGCAGCTAATTGAGGGTAATAAAAATAAACAATAAAGAAATGGGGGTAATTAGTTGGAAAGCATTTAACTCATTTAAATGTAGAATTGAGGCTGTAACAATTATGGTTATAGAACAGAATGCAAGTGTTTAAAAACTGAAAATGCAAAAATAAAATTATAACTACTCCAAATCAAGAGGAGGCTGAAACACAGTGCTAATTTTCATATGTTTGTTTAAGATTTTTATTGTTTTTTAGAAAGAGAGGAAGGGAGAGGGAAGGGAGAGAGAGAAACATGAAACATCGAGGTGAGAATGAAACATGAATCAGCTACCTCCTGCACACCCCCTACCACGGATTGAAAATCACATGCCCTGACTGAGAATCAAACCAGCAACCTTTCAATGCACAACTAACTTAGCCACACCAACCAGGGCTAATTTTCTTATTTTTCATAGCACATAAATATTGCCTTAACAAGAAAATACAAAGTTTAGAAAAATTAATGTCTCTAATTTCCTATCTTGTTCATAAAACTTTCCTAAATATCATAGTCTTAGGGGGCTATAAGAAATATTTCTTGGAAGAGAAGATTTTATATATATATATATATACGCCAATCTGCTGCTCAGATGAAGAGAATCTTGAGATTTATATTTTTAAAAATGTAATTAGCTATCACATAACTAGTAATCCTTAATCACCAACTAACAAGGAATTTGGTTTAAACATGAAAAAAACTGAGTTTACATGCCATAAATAGTGTACTTGTTATAAAGGTAAAAAAAAAAAAAAAAAAGATGCCAACACTTTATTTTAAACCAAAAAAGAATGTTGAATGGAGCACATTCCATTTGTTTTTTTTTTAAATCAGGCAAGTTTTTGATGTGAACTCTGCATTTTAGCTTCACTACATCATGTGACAAAGAAAATGATTAAGGTTTTGAATTATCTTAATGCTCACTACTAATTTTTGGAATAGTGGGAAGAAGAAGAATTGTTGAATATGTAGATCTGGTTTATCCTATATAATAAAACCCTAACATGCAAATCGACCCAACGGCAGAACAACCGGCTGCTATGTAGGAGCTGCTTCCTGGTGGTCAGGTGCTCCCACAAGGGGAGCGCTGCTCAGCCAGAAGCCGGCTCTCACGGCTGGCGAGCTCAGCTGCAGTGGCAGGAGCCTCTCTCGCCTCCACTGCAGGTGGGCGGTAAGGAGTGAGGGGTCCTGTACTGCAAGAGTCCCAGATTGCAAGAGGGATGTCTGACTGATGGCAGGCAGACATCCCCTGAGGGTCTCAGACTGCAAGAGGGCGCAGGCCTGGCTGAGGGACACCCGAGGTAAAATGCATGTGCTCTTATTGGCTCCAATAAATATTGGAAAAAAGATTTGTCTAAATAGTGTGATATGAAAAGTATCTACTTGCATGAGTGCACGAATTTTGTGCACCAGGCCTCTAGTTTTATATAATGCAGACAGATGTTTTAATTTTGGAAACTTGTTGAATAGGCATATTGAGTTGCTTCCTTAGATCAAGAACTTTTTGTAATTAAAGGGCTCCCAGAAATGTAACTTGTTAAAACCTCAGGAGTTTAAAATGATGATGTGAGAAGACTGCTGATTCTATGGAACTTAAAAGTAGGAAGGAGTCCATCTATTTGATTAAGTACAGCTACACCTACTCAATTTAAAATTTTGTTTTGAAAATAGGCTAAGAAAAGACTAAACTGGATGCTCTGTGCTCAACGGGAATTAAAGATTTAAAAGAACTGCAGAATGTCTACATGAAAATAATATTACATTTCAGAAGATATTCCACAGATATTAAAAAATAAAAATTATGCTCTTAGTTGTTAGCAAAATAAATATTTGTTGAACGTCCACCAACAGTGACAGCATCCCAGGTATTTAATATATGTTTACTATTTTCAGAAGTATTTTAAAATAGCCAAACTCTGAGAAATTTATACATTTACCTGGCAATGTAAAAGAGCATTCTTTTTATGAAATTGTTGAAATAGAAGCTAAAGGCTAACAGCTATCATCAGAGATATCAACCAGAATCCATTCTGATATTTGTTTCTGGCTAATACACTACACATGTTTCAAGAATAATTCTATTTTCTTTATTAACTTGTCCAAAACTAATGACTCCATACTTTATACAAAATAGCACTTGTATAAATAGTTAATACTCGTACAAAAATTTCATTCACCCTAAGTTAGCTTGATGCATTATAGTAGTACATAATTGCTGAAACTATGAGTTGTTTGCAAGTTAGGTCCATGCTGCTATAAAAATTCCCCATTCACTCAAACTTGGCAATATGGCTTACATGTGCATAACTGTTAAAACATGAGTTGTTTCCAAGTTAGTTCATGATCTGGGGTCCAATTACTATACATTTAAATAGAGACAATTGTAACTGACAGTTAAAATACTTTTCCATCATAATATATTGTCATATATCATAGTCAATATAAATAATATAACATAATTAATGTCACAATTTAAATCATGTACTCTTTGAAAATCAGACTTTCAAATGTAAGGTGGTTTGAAATACTTAATAAATCTCCCTAAAAACCTTCACTACAAAAATATGCTACCAAGACATTAACAAAAAAAAGAGAACATTTTGCAAAATAAAATTAAACAGAAGATGATTAACAGAGAAAATTTTTTAGTTTTGAAATGTTTTTTTCATATACTGGCAGAAGAGGTAAAATGTCTTTCCTCTAAATAATCCTCTCAATGTAAGCATTTATTTGACATTTATCAAGGGGTAGGGTTTGCTATACACTGGAATCAATAACAACCTTGTAAAGCCTACAGCAGTGCACATAAACATGCTGTAGGAGACATTAACACTAGACTGAAAGAAATAATTATATTTTCAATAAGCACGTTCCTATTAGATAATCAATTTTTTACACGTGTTACCAGCAGTTTCACAGATCAGGTAGTGAGTGGCAGAGGCTGTTATATCAAAATCATATATGCTTATGAGGTACTTTTAATTTTTCAAAGGTATCTACTTATTTTTGGTCAGCCACATTTAACTCAGATTATATAAAAACAAAATATTCGTGGGGTGATTTATTCAGGAGGATTTTTATATCAGTCTTATCTTAGAAATAAATTCTTAACCAATTACTTTCATGTCAGAAGACTTAATAATTCTAATTACATGCTGCCCTTATTCCCAGATTTAAGAGATTTGTCACAATCAATATTTCTGAAATATTAAATTAAAAGGTATCATGGTAATTACTATGGAATAAATAGCAATTAGGATTTTTTAGGTAAATAAGCTCAAACTGTTTGCAGTGAATATTTAGAATACTAATATTTCTCCATACAATGCATGCATTATTCAGAAGTAGCCTAAAAATATAAAATGTAAATTCACAGAATTACTTCAAAAGACCTTAAGAAACAGATTTTACAGGAATTTGATACTTGGTTAAGAAATATCTATGTATAATGTATCCCAAAAGAGGTAGACTTGAAGGTAAATAATACAAATTATGTTACCATAGAATGATCATATTACTATTCTGCATGTTAAATAGTGAACATATGCTTTGAGAGGGGTAATTTGCAGGATAAGTAAAAGACAATTATTTAAAACTTTACATCAGCTAACAACTATAATTTATAGTGTAAACATGTACCGGAAATTTGAATTAGGTAAATACTTACTGCTATATAATAAACTCTTGCCTTTTCTACTAACATCCAATTTTTCTCCATATCAAGATGTTTTTCTTTTTTATAACAATTGGCAGCAGCAAGATTAGCTACAAGGGACCTAAAACAACAACAAAAAGCAAAGTAAGTTTTTTTGCCCCAGATAAACAACTTATTCCTTTTATTGCAAACTTGTCATATACTTCTATACAGTCAATTAACAATATTTTTTGCAACTTATGTTTTATATTTTATTTCTTCAAAACTGTTGTATATTGATTTTAAGAAATGTAAATAAAATGAATTTTGTTTTGAGAACTCCTGAGACTTCTATGTTGCCTGTGAGATAAACAGAGATATTAATCCTTGTTCTAAATACCACCTGGTATTTTGAGAAACTGGCATTTAAGTTTCTTTTTAATATTTAAATGCTAAGATTATCTACTGTCTACATTTTAATAGTTCAAAATGCAGTTACGAAATAAAGCTATAATGCCATCATGCATAAAAAATATTCAAATAAAAACTTTAGTTTTTAAGTATCAATACACTATACATTTCTTCTTTAACCTAATGCTTTAAAAGCCAAGTATGGGATTAATTTTACAAAATACATATAAAGACTATATTTACTATGTGAAATTAATTTGCCAAGCATTAAATGTTAACGACTGGAATAAATTTAGTTTCTACAGTTGAAACCTCCCTGCCCTGGTCCAGTTTTGCAGTAGAAAAATCTAAGCAGGATACTACATTTAAAATCTTGCTACAAGTGCCTCATAGAGCTTTTTATTATTGCTCAACAATTAAACTTAATAATTATTTACATTACATATGAAATTAATAAAAATATTTTTCCTCCTCAGAATTTAGAAAATAACTTGACAGTTTTTCACTTTTTTATTTGTTAATTTTTAAATATATATATATATATATTTAATTGACTTCAGAAAGGAAGGGTGAGGATGAGAGAGACAGAAACATCAGTGATGAGAATCATTGATTAGCTGCTTCTTGCAAGTCCCTACTGGGGATAGAACCCAAAACCCAGGCATGTGCCCTGACAGGGAATCAAACTGTGACCTCCTGGTTCATAGGTTGATGCTCAACCAATGAGCCACACCAGCCTGGCATTTTTCCACTTTTGTAATCAATAGTAGTTACGGTACAAAAATCCTCACAAATGAAATATCATCTCATTACTTAAGATTGTGGTAATATGATTGGTTCCTCTTGTTAAGAAAAAAGTAAATCAATTCTCTTCCAAAACATATTTCTGTTCATATGCCAATTGACTACTGAGAATATTTGTTTATGTTCAATTAGGTGAATGAAAATAAGAGTAATATGCATCAATATATTTATATGCAAATAACTATATTACAAAATCAGAATAATTAGTCCTGATTTATACAGAATATTTAAGTAATCATGACTTTAGCAAAATTTAGACAAAAATGGTTACTAAATAAAAGCAAACACTTGTGGTATCAATTACTAAACTCTATTTTGATAATAAAACTACTCTTTGATAGGAAACTACTCAGTTTATCCAAAAGAAAAATACAAGTATTCTTACTATCCAAATGTGTTTGGTTCAGAATTTGGAGAATGAGAACTTGGATTAAGAAAATTATTGCATTATCTAAACTCTTTGATTCCTGCGTTTTGGATAGTGGTACTGAGAGTTACCACCCCTATCTAAAACAATTTATCCAAATATGTTAGGTTCCACAATTTGGATAATGAATTAGATAGGGAGGGTTTCCCTCAGTTTCAAATTTCCAAAATTATCTGCACAATACTAAGCACCATAACCATAATATTAGTATATAAATCAAGCTGTTAACATCTGGGAAGCCTAATATTATCATACTGCTCTTTAGTATACAAAAATAATTTCTCAATTTTTCTCTAGCTTGAGTGGTAACAGAGGCAAAACTTGACCCATTTCTGTCTTTGCACCTGCATATTAATTTTGGTTTTAGAAAAACTAAAAAACGAAAAGGTTTAAATAAGTATATTTCAAATATGTTTGAACAATAGTGGTTTACTCATTGAAACCTTAAAATCATAACTTTTTAAAAAATATATTTTATTGATTTTCTACAGAGAGGAAGGGAGAGGGACAGAGAGCTAGAAATATCGATGAGAGAGAAACATCGATAAGCTGCCTCCAGCACACTCCCCACTGGGGATGAACCCGCAACCAAGGTACATGCCCTTTACCAGAATCGAACCTGGGACCCTTCAGTCCACAGGCCGATGCTCTATCCACTGAACCAAACCAGTCAGGGCAAAATCATAACTTTTTTACACATAAAAAAATATAGTTATAAGAAAGGTTTGGAAGATTTTGGCACTCTATTTTTGAAAGTTATATTTTATTTATTTAATGATTACTGCCATAATAGTGTCAGATTCTTAACATACATTTTCTGGAGGTCAAAGAGTGAGCAAAAATAAAAGGAACTAAAAAAGGGGAAATGAACAAGGGGAAGAGAGAGAAGGGAAGAAATAAAGGAAGAAAAAGAGGCAAATAAAAAGGGTGGGAGAGGAAGAGAGACAAGAGATGGAAGAGAACAGACTAAATACTTCTAGCTATAAGGAACATAAAATATCCAATGGATCACTATTTAAAAAAGATCAGCTTTGGTGATTCTAAGAATATAACAGGTAGAAAAGTTATTTTATTTCTCCCTTGCTGATGAGTAATATGGTAACAATATTGTCAGCGATGTATGAATGTACTGAAAGAAAACCTCCATGTAGTTGCAAAAGATACAAATACAACCAATGCATGGGAGGCCCTGAAGGATATATTCAAAGGTCACTTATAGAAGAATTTTTAATAAGTAAAATTGTATAGAAATGCAATGGGTTGTTTCTTGAGTGGTACATTACCCATGACTAAAGTTGTTTAATATGGATGAATGACTATTTGCCAGAAATGCTTTAGATGACCTAATTCATATGAGACTGGATATAACATAGTATTGTATATGTTAAAAATACATATGAATATGTACATGTATCCAAACTCAGGATATGGTGAAAAGAACATTTCTTTCTAATCCCAGTTTAGCAAAATGCTTGCTATAAGACATTGAATAAAATGTTTTCCTTCTCTGATCCTAATTATAAGGAGTAGATGCTAGATTAGATAATCTCAAAAATTTCATTCCACTATATCACATGAAGACAACAGCAGGTTCAACAAGGGCAATTTTTAAAAAAAAGAAAAAATGATATAAGGAAGAGTTTATTAAACATTAAAAGCAATTATAAACGAGAGATCTAAATTCCAAAATTAGATTGGAATTCAGGTTTTACCAGTATTGAAATAGCCAGTTAGTATAAGCTTCCCTGGGAATTACACTGACCTGTTGCCACCAGTGATGCATGCAGCACAAGTTCCTGTTGGCTGCTCATTCTGCTCATAGTAATGAGCATCCACATGCGCTTCGGCAGTTTTTCTCTTCAGGATCTCCCCAAATTTATCTGTCCCAATGCAACCAAAAAATGTTGCTGCTTTGTGTGGCTTCTGAATCATCCACTGAAAAACAGGAACATAAATAATTTTAATGTGTCAGAAAATGGTACACCATAGTTCAGTATTCTGTTGTAGATAGTGGCATAAAAGAGATACCTTATTAGAAACTGTGGCTGTTATGAATGGAATTCCAATCCTGTACTACCATTTATGATAACAAATTTGATATAACAATCACATAAAACCTTATTATACTACTTTTGGGGAGAGAAATAGAGCACAATGGTTAAAAACTCAGAATCTAAAGTCAAATAGACCTTAGGGCAATGCTGGCTTGATACAGACAAATAATAGCAATTCCCAATAGAAGTAGTATAGCAATATCATTAAAAGCCCAGCATCTACTAGGTGTACCAGTTCATAATGCGGATTTTTTTAATAGATAGAGTTACACATATGTTGATATATAAGTGATTTGATATGTATGCTATTTTGTTGTATTGACAGCAAGCTTCAAAACTTCATATGTCAAATTTGCTGAAGGTGTTAACATCATAGATATTTTTACTCTTAAAAATGTCGAATTTCATGCCATAAAAAAGAGCATTTGCGGGAAGTTTTAATTCATTGCTTTATTTTAAAGAAAAAGTTATCGTATACTTCTGGAAGTTTATGGTAAACATGCTCCATCTCAAGATACTTGTGAACGCTGGTTTAAATGCTTTAAAAGTGATGATTTCGATGTGAAAGACAAAGAACGTCCAGGTCAACCGAAAAAGTTTGAAGACCAACAATTACAAGCATTATTGGATGAAGATGCCTGTCAAACTCAAAAACAATGTGCAGAAAGATTAAACGTTGTTCAGCAAACCATTTCGGATCATTTAAAAGCAATGGAAAAGATTTTAAAGGAAGGAAAATGGGTGCCACATCAAATGAACGGAAGACAAATGAAAAACCGAAAAGTCATCAGTAAAATGTTGCTTCAACGGCAGGAAAAAAAGTCTTTTTTGCATCCAATTGTGACTGGCGATGAAAAGTGGATTCATTTTGAGAATCCCAAATGCACAAAATCATGGGTTGATCCAGGTCAACCACCAACATCTTTGCAAGGCCAAATCACTTCAGAAAGAAGACACTGCTCTGCGTTTGGTCATTAATACTGATCGCTACCGACAACAAATAATCAATCTGAACCACGCTTCGATCGTGAACCGACCAGAATGTGCCAGAAGACACGCAAAGTAATTTTGCTTCATGATGACACACCATCACTTCAAAACCAGTTAAAGACACGTTAAAAGATCTTGCCTGGAAAGTATTAACCACCCACTATATTCACCAGACCTTGCTCCTTCAGATTATCACTTGTTCTGATCAATGGCACATGCACTTTCTGAGGCAGCACTTCAAAATGTACGAAGACGTGGAAAATTGGGTCTCTGAATGGTGTGCCCCAAAACAAGAAAAGTTCTATTGGGACGGTATCCACAAATTACCTGAAAGATGGGGGAAATGTGTAGCTAGCGATGGACATTACTTTGAATAAAGCACTTTTGATGTTTCTCTTTAAATTATCGTGTTTTCTTTGATTACAAAATCCGCATTATTAACCGGTACACCTAGTATATTGAGACAGTCTGGATTCAAATCTTGCCTCTGCCACTTACTAGCTGTACGAGTAAGAATGTCACTTAGGCATTTCTATGCCTCATTTTCCTCATCTGTAAATTTAAAAATATATATAAATACACCTCATAAAGTTGTTGATAATTAAATACTTTAAACCAGACATACGAAAAGTATAGACATAACAGCCAAGAATATGTCTTGTTCTACACATTACTTTTGTTCATGTAGAAAGCCTAAATACTCTGGCTATTTTTGATATGTAGGACACTGACAAAATGTGAGACTTTTACTCTTGATCAGTGATTTCTACTCAAAAGTTAGTCAATTTAAAATAAGAGTTTAGTACGCCAAAGCAGACACATAAAAGAAGTAGAAGCCATGCTCATGGCTTCAAAGCACTTAATAACCTTGCTGAGAAAGTAAGGATGTTTTCAAGAAAGTTGAAAGATTAAAAAATCTTTTTTGAAAGTTTATAAATTAATCTGCGAATAGTTCTGTTAAAATTTTAGTACATGTCTAACATTACCTCCAACACAATATGTTACCAACACCTAAGCAATCTGTTTTTGACCATTCTGACATCCAATCAATAAACACTTAATGCATGTCTACTAGAGGAAAATGACAGTGACCATAATACAAAGACACAGCCACATTTTCAAATTCTCCAGGAGAGATGCAATCTTGTTCAAAGCTTCTTGTTATGTTCCTTCTTTTAGCCAAAATAAATTGCCCAACCTCTCTTTGTTTAGGTATGTATAGTACATCTTTAAATACCCATCTTTAACTTCTACCCTAGCCCTGAGGGAGTAAGAAGGTCCAGAATTACTCTTGTGTTGTGTATACTTAAAAAACAAAACTAAAAGGAAACAACTATAGAATTTTCAGACACTGGACAGGGCAGGACTATGATTCTGACAGAAAACAAGGTGAGCCCTGACATCATGCAGGCTATCTGCCAGGAGGCAATTTCCAGACTACAGTGCCAGGAGGAAGAAACCAAACGGAGCCTGGCATTCTCACTGAAATGAGGGACCAGAGATAAAGTGAAAAAGAGTCTCAGAGAGGAATGAGCTGCAATCCATATAAAGTAGCTCTTGAGGCTTTGGCAGGACACCAATCTGTGTGTGTTTAAGGAAATCATAAGAATCTACATAAATTTTCTAGGATTAAAAAGTGACTTTATCGAAGTCTCAGTATTCAAGATCACTGTACACAAATTTAATGTAATTCTATATACTATCAAGGAATAGTTGAAAATTAAAATTAGGAAAACAATGTCATTTACAATAGCATCAAAAATTGAAACATAAAGGGACCAATTTAAGAAAACATGTATAAGACCTATACACAGAACACTACCAAAACAAAAACAAAAACAAAAAACAAAACAACAAAAAAAACAAAAACAAAAAACACCCACCACCAACTATATAAAGGGATACTATGTGCGTGAATTAGAAAACTCAATAGTCTTAAGATAGCAATTCTCCCCAAATTTATTCATAGATTCACTGCAACACTAATCAAAATCTCAACAGGATTTCTGAAGATACCAAAAAGCTGATTCTATACTCAACAGTAAAAGAAAAAGGAACTAGAATAGCTAAAGGTTAGGGGGTGTGTCAGTGTTCTGGAAACCAACAGTGATAAATCCCAATTTCTTCAAATATAATGTTGATAATACAACCTATGATCTTGGGAGCATGTTTTAAGAATTAGAAATAGACTAACAAGAAATGTACTTTAGATCAGTAAATGATACCTATTATTATAATTGGGTCACTTTCATACAGAGAATGAAAGGGTTCTCACTACACTGTAAGTAACTACACCTAACTTAATGAATAAGAAAACTACAGCCATAATTGATTACTTTAAATAAATACATGAAATTAGTTGAATTCAATTTTAAAAGCAATAGTAAAGGCAGAATACCACCAGGAAACACTCAGGAGGGCAATTAAATATAAGCGAAGGGAGATCAGAAAAGGCATCCAGAGATGGGTGACATTATCAACTAGTCTCTGAAAGATGGGTGTACCTTTCAAAAATGGCTGTGAACTGGAAGTAGAGGCACGGCACAGAGCACATGCCTCCTCTCCTGTTGGGAATTTCATCATGGTGTTCTTAAGGTAAAATAAATTCTGTTTAGTAAGTAGCTAGTTCCAAACAATCTAGTATTTATTTCCTAATAATTGAGAGCCTATTGCGCACTGTAAAATTCTCAAAACTTGGAATCAGACTGGTCAGCACCACTCTCATTTGCTGTGTCACAATGATTTTTGTGTAGTACTTGTTTTGTTGTATTTTTAATCACAGAAGCTACCCAAACCCCAGTTTTCCAAAGTATCTGATACCACCAAGAGGAAAGTAGCAATGCAATGTTAAAACAGAAATATCTGCAGTTAGTGGTTCAAATGTTGAACCTAATAGATGTCACATGTTTTCCTAGAAATTTTGAAATGACCTGCAGACTCAATGTGGATTTGCTAAAGCACCCAAGGGGTCTTAGCACACAGTTGAGGAATACTAGTAAAAGAGTATAATGTTAACAAAAAAAAACAATGAAAAGAGAAATAAAGGACTATTCGGAGTATAATGACAGAGCACAATGTGGGAGGGAACAGACTAATGTGAAAAGTAGATCTAGGCCAGATCACTAAATGACACTTTAAGAAATTAGGGAGCATTCTGTATGTAGAAGGGCACAAATGAGGATTTTGAGTAAAGGAGTCAGATGATGAGAGATGAGGCCTCATTAAGAAAGCAGGAAGAGGCCTGGCTGGTTTGTTCAGTGGATAGAACGTTGGCCTGCAGACTAAAGGGTCCAGGGTTCGATTCTGGTCACGGGAACATGCCTGAGGTGCAGGCTCGTTTCCCAGTAGGGGGCATGCAGGAGGCAGCCAATCAATGATTCTCTCTCATCATTGTTTCTATCTCTCCCTCTCCCTCTCTGAAATCAATAAGAATATATTAAAAAGAAAGGAAGGAAGGCAGGCAGGCAGGAAGAAAATTTATAATTGAAATTAAATGGAGCTAAATAAATATCATATTAAGCTTCACATCAAGAGTCTTTAACCACATATGGAAAGATTTCTATTAATATTAACTTCATCTGCCAGATGAATTTCCTCTTTGTCACCTAAATGGAATATTTAGAACAATATAATTGACAATGATGCTCAAGCGACAGTCACTTCTAAAGCAATGGTATATACTTTAATTCAATTCATAATAGAATGCTGAAGAATGGTACCTAGATACTAAAATAATAGCAAGATAAGCCAAACGTAAGAAATTTTATATCAGAAATCCAATGAGGCGTTTCAGAAAAACTGGAGCACAACTGAAAGAGATTAAATGTCAAAACTGGGTAATAACAGCAACAAACAGATTGCAAAGGGTGGTGAGGAAATCGTAAGTGAAGT